GAAAGAAGCATTTTTGCTGTTGTGTGTTAAATTTTTCACTGATATAGTCTTTTTTGGTGTAAGCAACTGCAATACAAAAGTCGAAGAGGTAAACATATGTCTAGTAGCACTTGACTAAATGATAATGTTACTCCTATATAAGAGCAGTAAGTAATGTTATGCTCTGAAATGATTCTTGGGCTGCATAGGCGATTTTTGAATAACCTTTTTAATCTATATACATTTATACCAATTGTAGGTTTCGATGCAGGCATTTTTATATTGTAACAAGCCACTTATTGTTTCAAGAAACTACTCTCTTTTGTGTTTATAGTGAATGAGATGATATCTAGTGTCTTCCTTTATCATTTAAGGAGATAATAAGACTGCGATCCTATTTTGCTGTATATTTATGTTGTTGGTTATGTCTTAGGTATCCTCCTTGTATAATAAGAGCCAATACTTATTTCATCTATTCCTGATATCATATAAGGGTAAATACAGGAAATGCCTACATTAAGTTGGTGCAACATGTATAATGAAGATTTATCATTTTTCAAATTTACAGACAGCTGCGCCTCTAAATGTTAGATTATGTTAGGCTACAACTGAAGATTGTATGTCTTTCATATTATCTATATATGTGAGATTGCAACCTTTGTTCGAGAGTTGGGCTCAAGTTTACAGTTGTAGTGAAACTAATCAGGATTTAGTGCTGTTTGCGATCAATCTGGTGGGAGGAGAAGCTTAAGGAATATTTTGAGAATTTAAAATGAGCTTTTCAAATTCTAATAACATAATTACAATACGACACTTCTTATGCTGCCTATTATTTATCTAACATGTTTACGGATCCTATTTAGTATGAGGAAATTATGCTTGTAATTTTTGCTTAGATTAAAATGAACTTGTTTTAGTATATTCTTGTACCAGCACTGAAAACTAAAGTATTTATAAATTAAGTGAACTGCTCATCAAATTTCATGTCCTTTAGGCGATATACTCATACTTTTGTGATAAATAAATTAATTTTTATATAAATTTTTTATAGAACTTTTATAAATAATGGAAACTTGTGAAATAGGAGGAAAGGATTGTTGTATTATTTAAAAAAATTAATGTTTAATATACTAAAAACTATTTATTTCAATACCAAAGACAATTTTGATAGCAGCCTCAAGCAAACAACAACATAACTACTAATACGATCTACAATACTTAATTGATTGGTTCATTATATTAAGAACAGTTGCTTTATAATCTGCATTATTCGATTTGAACTTATAATCCTCATTTTTTCCTTCTTCTCAACTTCTTATAATAAATTAAATAGTTTTATCAACTGATTTAAAGAATGTATCACAAATTATGGCTCTTTAAAGAGATGAAAGTGTTTTCAACTATATTTCTTAATAAAGAATATTTGCTAGTGCCTTAGCCATCATTTGTGCATAGTTTTAGATATTTTTATGATATGTCCCAAAATTCTGGTAGATTAATTTCATATTCTACCCTGTGACTTTATTATTATTGTAACTAGATTATGAACCTTCTTCAGCAATTGTTTATTGTAAAATATCAAACAATGTTGGATACCCTGAGTTCAAAATTTATGCTTATTATGTAGAGTATGTACTAGCTGATTGCATGACGATATCACCTCCTAGAAATACTCAATAATGCGAAATTGATATGCAAAAGCATCGTTTCAAAACATTTCTGGGTAGATTTATGATACCTTCCACTTGTGTCTAAGTATAATTTTATAACATTTCTGCTTATTGCTCTATCCGTCTTTTTAATTCAGCTACCAAAGTAGTGATTTTGAGATGGCTTCAAAGTTAATGGTGCTTAAGCTCACTTGAATTCATTGTATATTTACACATAAACTCATCTTCATATAACTCATGTTGCCTAGCTGGGTCTCGTCAATGTTAAACTTTGTTCCAGTATTTTTTAGTTTTGAGTAGCATACAGTTAAATTTAATGCCTATAATTTTCAACCTATCAATCTTCCACTCTCTATTATTAAATTCAGAAGGAGATATAAAAAGCATGCTTCGTGTAAGTAGACTTGTCACAATTTTTTTTGTAATGCTGGACAGAGAAGTTGTAATTCAAATAATTGTTATAGCAATAAGGTGGATGATATCCTGATAAATTATTAAATTCACTCTGTGTGCTTAGAGTAGTATTCCGCTGGTGCAAAAATTATCTGCGAAAATGTTTGATGAAATACTTTTCTGCAATAATTCAGGTTACTAGAACTCATCCCCTTGTTTAATAGTTTTACTTTTATTAGTGAATATGAAATAAAATTTTGAATGATACTATTAAGCAATATCTTCACATTCTTATGCCATATGGATAGAGACTGGAACTCTCAGTTTCAAATCCTATGAAAATGAATTCTCTCAAAATGGAGGTATTTGCAAATTTTGCTCAAGAATAATTTGTATTTATAAAATGGTTACTTGTTAAATTGGAGCTAAGAGTTGCAAACATGACAGCATATTTGCTAATAGAGCAACCAAAAGTAAATATTGCATTTCTTTCTCAAGTACAAACAAGTATTCCAAGTGCTTAAGTAAAATTTACATTTGTAGGATATATAAACCTAAAGTTGGTTACCATATTTCGCTTTTTTTAAATCTTCATAACACAAACTGTGTAATTTAGTTAGCAATACTATTTCTTCTTGAAAAATTTTTTGATTTTTAATCATTACTTAATTATACTTGAACTCCTTTCTCAAATAATGATGCTATCTTCTATGGGACTCTTGTCCTGATTTATCTCAATAATGTATTGCGTGTAGGTAATCTATAGCAGCTGTTTGAAACTTGTTACATGGTAGTGTTAACTAGCCGTCCTAAATGTTACTAGTCTTGCTCCTTAGTTTTCTTAATTAAGATATAATTAGGAAATCAATAGGCATGTACAATTGACCATTCTGTTTCATTATTTTCAATTTAACTTTTCTTAATGATGATGGTTTTCATCATAGTTGAAATATATGAAGCGTTGTTATGCTTCATGTTTAAGTTTCTAGGCCAAAAATCCTATATTATTGATATAAATTTAGGGAAATCAGGTCAAAAATAGTTCCTAGTATTGTAATAGTCAGGTTAAGCATTGTTTAAGGTATATCTCCTCTGTGTTGAATAGAATATCACAAAATGCCAATAGTTTATTGATTTATATCATAATAAGAGGTGTGGAAATTTGTTTTTCTAATAAAACAATATAAGTTACAAATATATGCATATATTTGTACAGCAAAGAATGATCAGGTTTCAACACATAATCTACAAAATCAATACTGTTACGAACACTCCTATCTTTACTCTGATTAATTTATTAGATCATAAACTCCAATTTCATTCCCTCTATGATAAAAATATTTCGTTTAAGCATAATCTCCTACAGCACTTTTTACATCTTAGATCTTCCACTACTAATTTTATTGCCACCACTTAAGTTCCTTGTCCAAAAACAATATAGTTTTTGCTCATATTGTGTTTAGGTCCTCTGATGAATAATTTTTAGATTAGATTTCGTTAGTAATTTATATTTGAACTTTGCTACTAATAAAATCGAATTAACATCAGTATCTTCTTCTCCAAAAAATGTTCTTATGCTTTATAATGTTATAATTTAGACTAATAAGAAGGCTCTGCATCTAATATTAAAATAACTACAATATAACAAATATCTGTTTCCATTTGTTAAATTGTGAGGGTTCTTTTATTGTGATTCACATCCATTTGCAGTTGATTTATCTTCCGTTTCATTGAAGACATAGCATGCCTTGGTATTATTGAATTGTAACTCTGTCTTATATAATATGATTATAAAAAATCCAACTTGTAGATTCAACATAAGTGGAGTTAGATGATTGAAAATCTTAGTAAGTTTAATCCAATTAAAATGCAGTAATTAAAAAATTTAAAGCTAGATTAAATTGGACTTCTGAATTTATTTAATACTTGCGCATTAGCTCTTTTAGACAGAACTGACTAAAATAATTAGTAAAACTTAGTTTAAGGATATCATTTGAACTATCCTTACTTAAGAATATCAATATCTTTCTTTTGGAAATTGTGGCTTTATAGAATCTTCCTATTTAATAATGTTAGCGCTACTAGTTTGAATATAAAGATTGTCTTAAAAATTGGGCAAGGATAATTCTTATGTAGATTTTTGTGTGTGTTGCTTCAAATGAAAATCTCATAGTTTTGCTCAATCACAAATGATCAAATGATCAGTTTCCCCACCGCGTGTCATAAAATTTTCAAAGAGTAGAGGCTAACAAATGGACAATTGTATAATGCCTCCGCAACCTATTTTAATTTTTATGCTTCTTTATGAAAGTTACTGAAGATGAATCTAATTGTGCTTGACAAAACAATTCGAGGTCAGTTAACCAGTTTTCCATCTTGTAATTTATATACTTATTTGAAAAATGTTGATCCTTTT